TGTTGGGAGCTCCCCCCCCAGCCAGTGCCCTGCCCTGCCCCCACAGCGCCCCCTGCTGGGAGCCCCCCACAGCCAGCGCCCTGCCCCACCCCACAGCGCCCCCTGCAGGGAAAGGCTGGGACCAGAGTAGCCAGAAATTCCCCCCAGGCGCTCAGCAAGTGCCCCATGCCTGCTCCCGGCCCCAGTAACTCACCTGGCCTGCCCTGCCCGTGTGAGCAGCTCCCTGGCGGCAGCCAGGCCGTGGGCCGTGCTGTTCAGGACTGCGTCCACCCCGTCCAGCTGCTGGATACTGTCCTGGATTTCCTGCAGCAGGTGCCGGATTCTGCTGGGGCTGCTGGGCAGGGAGATGTTCAGCACCTGCCGGGCCACCAGCTCGATGCTCTCCGGGTCGGCTCCCTCCTCTGCAGACAGGGACGGCCCTCAGCGGGGGCGGCAGCCCCAGGCATGCCAGCGGGGGCAGGCCAGGGCATGGCTGGGCACCCGCAGGACTGGAGCAGCCGCCAACTTGGGCCCCGGTTCACCCCATGCCTGCCCGTGGCTGGGCCTGGCGTAGCGGTGCCCTGGGATGCCCACCACGCCAGGCCGCAGAGGGCACCGGAGCTCCTGGGAACCCCGGCCCCACCCAGCTCCGCTCCGGCTCCTACCTGCCAGGAAGCCCTTGATTTTCTGGATGAATTCTCGCAGCCTGGCTGTGGCCTCCTCCATGTGGCCTCTGGCTGCCTGGGACCCATCCAGCGTCTCCTGGGCTCGTCTCCTGGCGCCCCGGGCCAGCTCCTGCATCTCCTGCACCTGGAAGGGCCTCACAGCTGATTGCGCCAGGCTGGTGCCAGCTGTGTGCCACACCCAGTGTGGGGGGAACAAGCAAGGGGGTGCCCAGCTGGTAGCACAGGCCTGTGACTGGCACATTTGTGTGCGCACAGGGCTGCGTGGGGCGAGGGCGGTGCCCGCGGGCGTGCGAGGCTAGCAGACCCTGTGAGAGACACCCTCAACGGGACCCCTGCAGCTTAAATCACAGGCCTGATGCCCGAGACCGTCCCCGCCCCTGCCCACGCCGTACCTTAAGGGCGATGGTGCCCAGCTGCCCGGCCGTGCTTTCCAATTGGCGTGAGACATCCTGGGCGGAGCGCAGGGCCTGCGTGGAGACGGGGAGCGCCCCCCTGCAGCCTGGGCCCCCACAGCGCCGTTGCCCGGAGTCATCCTGGCAGGAGGCCCCTCCACAGGGGGCTTGTTCGCAGCCCTGATCTCCCTGCGCCCCACAGATCTGCAGGGCAGAGAGCGCATGGCAGGGGGTCAGCCGGAGAGCCAGCCGGCCCCAGGGGAGGAGGGCAGAACCCTGGGCTTGCCATTGCATTCGCTGAGGGCCCCACACCTGAGAGGGAGGCGGTGACAAAGGGGGAATGATTTCTATGACTCCAGGGTGTGCCTCAGCTTCTCCCTGTGCTCCACATGGCTACCGGGGGCGGGGAGGAGGGTTCAGTTTGCTCCCAAGGTGGCCCAAAGCCTGTTCTACACTAGGAAATGAAGTCAGTGTTACCACATCGCTCAGGGGTCTGAAAAATCGCCCTCCCGGAGCGACCCGAACTGAGCCCGGTGGAGGCAGCACTAGGTAGATAGGAGAGTTCTCCCAGCGATCCTGCCACCCCTCTAGGGGAGGTGGATTGGGACAACGTGGGAATATTTGGTCATGTTTTTATGAGGCCTGTCCGTGCCTCAGTTTCCCCGTGGTGCTGCCTGGCTCCCCAGTGGGTGGGGAAAGGCTGATTGCTCTCAGGGTAGGGGAAGCAATGTGGCTGTCTGGGCCTTGCTCCCCATGTCACTGGGGCATCTGAGAAGACCCTGGCAACTCCTCTCGCCAGGATGCTGGCACCGAGCACGCAACGCCCCAGAGGGACCTGAGCTCCCTGCCTCCCCTGGGGGGCTGGACAATCCCCAGCTGAGATCAAGCACTGGGGGGGAAGAGCTGGGGGCTGGCAGGAGCCGGGGCTCTCCCCGGGGCTCTGCCAAAGGAGGGCAGACAGACAGAGCCTGTACCAAGGGGCTGGGCGCTGGCTAAGCAGGATGGCCGATGCTGCAACCTTCACTTCTCTGGGCTGCCCTAAGGACTCCCTGTGCTGCGCCAGGGGACAGCACTGGGGGAGTCGCTGCAGGCGCTAGGCGAGGGTCATCGGTCCCTGTGCAGTGGGCAGGGCTCTGCCCGGCTCTGTCTCAGGGGCACTCGCTGGGCAGAGCTCGCAGGGCGGAGCAGGGGCTGGAGCCCAGAGCGCCAGTGTCAAACATACAGCTAAGGGTAGCATAAAATCCCTCCTTACCCTTTAAAGGGTTAAGAAGCTCAAATAACCTGGTTGGCACCTGACCAAAAGGACCAATAAGGGGAGAAGATACTTTCAAATCTGTGGGGGAAGGTTTTTGATTTGGGTTCCTTTGTGTTCTCTCCGGTCAGCGAGGAACCAGGGCAGGGAAAATACATCTCCCTTAGCCATATCTGAACTAAGCATCTAATATTACAGAAATAGTAAGTAATAGCAAGGAAATGCATTGGATTGTCCTTTGTTTTAGCTTGTGAATTTTCCCTGTGCTAAGAGGGAGGTTTATCCCTGGTTTTGTAACTTTAAAATTTTGCCTAGAGGGGAAATCCTCTGTGTTTTGAATTCATCCTTCCATCCTGATTTTATAGAGGTGCTTCTTTTATTTGTTTTTCTTTATAATAAAGTTCTGTTTTTTTAAGAACCTGACTGGGTTTAATGTCCTAAAACCCCAAGGGTCTGGTCTGTGCTCACCTTGGTCACTCTCAAGCCTTCCCAGGAAAGGGGGTGAAGGGGGCTTGGGAGGATATTTTTGGGGGAAACAGGAACTCCAAGTGATCCTTTTCCTGAATCTTTGTCTAACTAACTTGGTGGTGGCAGCAATACTCATCCAAGGAC